ATCAATTACGTTAAGTAATCCATGATTAACAACCATGGTTTTTCAACTTACTCGCAGCGGAAATTCATAATTCAAAGCATATTTATTATATATTTCTAAATAACTTCATCAAATCAAAACAACTCAATTACCACAAGGGTAGTTCAAATCTCATATTAAACAGAACAACATGATTATTCAAAAGAAACGATCCCATCCCCGATGTTACATATTAGAGCAAGATACTTTATTCTACAGGAAATAAAGAACACACTTCGCAGCTATCCTCTAAGCCCCGGCGATCTATTCTTGATTACCTACAAGTTACCCACGCGTAGAGGCAACATTTCCAAGCAGCAACGGTGAGTAAATCATAGTCATTATAAAAGACATAAGGAGTAAATATAGTAGTTATGATACAACACCAAATAAACGCACCATCGAAAACATCATGTCATACTCACAGCTTCAAACATCATAATACACATCAAACACGTGGTAATACCATCAGTTAGCAATTATTGCAAACACGCATTCACAAAACATCAGTCAATCAAATCATCATGCAATGCAACATATAATTCAATGCAACTTCTTTAGACTCATGCATGTGGTACCAAAACATCACTAATGTCACCATCATCATTTTCTCCAAAGATCCCCACCAATAGGATCGATTCCTTCTTGGAACCAGAGCACATCACAATTTGCACTTACTCCACACTATGAAATTGAGGCCATCACTAGACTATTCGTCCTACAAAACTCACTGGAACAACATCCTACAAACATCACTATGCTATGCCCTTACATATGACATGAATGCATGATGCGAAACATCTTAATAAGCAAATGACCATTGTTAGTCAAAATGCATCATCATTCATATAATCATCATATATATCAATACACACTTCATAACATGAAACAACCTTATCATAGAATTAATAACTCATTGTGTACACATACGTCATACTAGAATAATCACTGAATCGTCATATTCATTAAAGCATAGGTACTGTAAAAATACATCACATGACTCTTTTTATTCCAGCAAATTATAGTTCATCCTGTTAGATTCCTAATGCTTTGAACGATGCGTCAATCGGAGTCCTGAAACTCAAGTTGTGACATTTTTAAAATACTATTGATGTCCATCGCCAGTTGTTTGCCCGACGATGTTGGAGCGACAACTCAACCATTCCTTTTTGGTCTCCACCGCCCGATACTGCATATTTCTCGCCCGAGGATCTCTTATCTCTTCTGCGTCGCCTGCCGACGCTTCAGTGATAGACCACTCTCCCTACAAATTCTAGGGACTATGTTTTTCACCCCCATTCTATTGTTGCTTCATCTCCTAGCTCTGCTGGAGAGATGCTCCACGGCCCGGCGACACAAAACCACTGCTCAGCGCTGCAGCGCGAACAAGACTTCCTTGTGAAAATTTCTGCACTGCACAATCCCAATTTCTATATGATTTCTCCAGAGTAAAGGTCTTAATTCATCATGGGTTCTCTTAGTTTCATCACATAACAACAACACATATTATCATACCTTATATGCATCAATTCTTCGCAAGAAAATATCATAATTTCACCAATTTCCATCAAAGCATCATATTAACATCATCATCCCAAAACCCTAACACAACCTAAAATTATCTAAACCTTAGATCAATTATAATAACAATGATAAATCCCCTTACCATAGATTTCCAGTAATTACTTCTTCTTCTTCGCGTTCTTACGGGTTCTCTTCCTCTTCCTCTGTGCCATAGCCTCTTATCTCTTCTTCTCTTCTAAACGCAATCGTACAGAATGAATCGCTCAAACCTCAATATTTCTATTTGTTAATCTTACCCCTTGGACCTCTAATATGGTCCTTCCACCTTTGCCCTCACTTAATTTCTTCTAATTGACCATTATGCCCTTGTCATCTCAAACACCAATATTATTTTATTTAACTAATTAAAATGATTCCACTTAATTAATCTAATTATCTAAATTATTCTAAAATACTATATACTTCCTTTAATTCCTACCACCCCATCATACACCACACAAAACATCATATCAAGCATCATGATCATCCATCATCACATAAACATCACAATTAAGTCACAAATACTCAACATAAATTAATCGAGTAATTAAATAAATAATCTAATTATTTTGGGGTGTTACATCGTTCACCCTCGTTTGTCAGTGACATGAAGATACAATTCACCAACTTCGAACTGAAAACATATGTAAATTTAGAGGGCATGTGGAGTACTTTTCGCCAATATGAAACAAATAGTCTGATTAAAGTGGATGCAAATATTGCAAGATCTGCCGAAGATATTGTCAACATATTCAACGTTCGGAACTACCTGTTTATAACAATGTGTAATATTAGTTTTTCAATTATCAATTATCTATGTAATATTGAGTGTTTTAATTTATTGTCAAGTTGTTATGATTATCAATTATAAATTTTCGATTCACTAATGATATCCATAATGTCTCTATTTCTGTTTTTCATTTGAAGTATCATAGCTATTTTCGGATATTCATCTCCGAAACATATGACATAAAATTTCGGAGATGCATCTTCGAACTAAAATTAAGTATAATGGAAAATGGGTGTGTTTGAAGATGCATCTTTGAACTAAAATTAAGTATAATGGGGAATGGATGCATTCAGAGATGCATCTCCAAACTCTAGGAATATTTTTTAATTTTCACCAAGGGTTTGTGAGTAGGCATAAGGGTAGGAAAATAAATTGTTAAATTTTAAGTCCACCATTTTGCGATTTGAGCTTTTCTTCAAGTACAACAACCAACCATGAGAATTCTTTTTGCCACCCTTAAAATTTAACCTGGCACCCCCTGTATTTTCATATTTCCAAAATATCCTTGTTAAAAAAAGAGCGAACAAAAAATTCAGAAGTCCAATTGAAAAATCTGGTATGAGTAGAAAAATTCGGTAGTGTATTCTAAAAATCTAGTATATTTTAGAAATTTTTGGATTTTTGAAAACATCGGTAGTTCATTTCTGATATGCAAAAAAATCAAAATTAATTGTACCGGATTTTTTGAAAAATCTCGTAAAAACTTGTAGTTTTTGAAAAATTCAATAGTGTATTTTAAAAAATCCGATAAAAACTCATAGTTTTTTAAAAAATCCGATAGTGTTTTGAAAAAATCGGTAAAAAATCATAGTTTGTTTGAAAAATCCGATAGTGTATTTTGAAAAAATCGGTAAAAAATTATAGTTTTTTGAAAAATCTGGTAGTGTATTTTGAAAAAACCGATAAAACTATTAGTCTTTTAAAAAAACACAATAAAAACTCATAGATTTTTTGAAAAATCCGATAAAAACTCGTAGACTTTTCAAAAAATCTGATAAAACTCATACTTATTTGAAAAATCTAGTAAAAATTTATAGGATTTTGAAAAATCTGATAATGTATTTGAAAAATTCGATAATACAAAATTCGACAATTTTTTAAAAATCCAATAAAAAACTCATAGATTCCCTAAAAATCTAGTAAAAACTCATGAAGTTTTTCACGAATTCGGTAAAAGCTCAAAAAAAATTTCAAAATCCGGAAAATAATTTTTCAAAAAAAGTAAAAAATTACATAGTATAATGGTACATCAAACCACAACATGATCATTGATATAAATTATCATAAAAAATCATGTCATATTTTTATATATCATTAATTCTTTTAAAAATAGTTAAAATTTAATTTTCTTGGTCTATTGGGATATCAATATTTATTTGCTCACATGTATTGCATTAAAATTTCTTCAAGTACAACAACCAACCATGAGAATTCTTTTTGCCACCCTTAAAATTTAACCTGGCACCCCCTGTATTTTCATATTTCCAAAATATCCTTGTTAAAAAAAGAGCGAACAAAAAATTCAGTAGTCCAATTGAAAAATCTGGTATGAGTAGAAAAATTCGGTAGTGTATTCTAAAAATCTAGTATATTTTAGAAATTTTTGGATTTTTGAAAACATCGGTAGTTCATTTCTGATATGCAAAAAAATCAAAATTAATTGTACCGGATTTTTTGAAAAATCTCGTAAAAACTTGTAGTTTTTGAAAAATTCAATAGTGTATTTTAAAAAATCCGATAAAAACTCATAGTTTTTTAAAAAATCCGATAGTGTTTTGAAAAAATCGGTAAAAAATCATAGTTTGTTTGAAAAATCCGATAGTGTATTTTGAAAAAATCGATAAAAAATTATAGTTTTTTGAAAAATCTGGTAGTGTATTTTGAAAAAACCGATAAAACTAATAGTCTTTTAAAAAAACACAATAAAAACTCATAGATTTTTTGAAAAATCCGGTAAAAACTCGTAGACTTTTTAAAAAATATGATAAAACTCATACTTATTTGAAAAATCTAGTAAAAATTTATAGGATTTTGAAAATTCTGATAATGTATTTGAAAAATTCGATAATACAAAATTCGACAATTTTTTAAAAATCCAATAAAAAACTCATAGATTCCCTAAAAATCTAGTAAAAACTCATGAAGTTTTTCACGAATTCGGTAAAAGCTCAAAAAAAATTTAAAACTCCGGAAAATAATTTTTCAAAAAAGTAAAAAATTACATAGTATAATGGTACATCAAACCACAACATGATCATTGGTATAAATTATCATAAAAAATCATGTTATATTTTTATATATCATTAATTCTTTTAAAAATAGTTAAAAATTTAATTTTCTTGGTCTATTGGGATATCAATATTTATTTGCTCACATGTATTGCATTAGGTGGAAATGTCTTCAATGTGTAGTTTGTGTGCATACAAAATTGTCAAAGGTAGGCCCATTAAGCATTCATTTTATTCCAAGACAAGCTATCCACATGAATTTATGAGTTCAATATTCAACCTTGGCTTACATCACCATTGACTCATTTGCACCAATCCCGCTAATATTAACACACCCAATAACACGTCCATTGCAGATTGGTGTTATTGAGTGCTCTCAAAAACTCAACATATCCCTATCCATGGCTGATTCCCATAACATTCTTCTCATCTTCACATTTGTTATCTTCCTCACTACTTTCACATCCACAACAAATTCATGGGATGACCCTTTTTTCCTATACCAATATTGCTCAAGTAACAGAACATCAGCCAATACTTCCTTCCAAATCAACCTCACCACTCTTCTCTCTTCCTTATCATCCATTGCAACAACCAAAACCAACACACAATTCTACAACACAACATTCAACGGAAACAACCCTTCTGACACAATCTATGGCATGTACTTATGCAGAGATGATGTTCCTTCTCAACTCTGTCAACAATGTATAGTAAATGCAACACAAAGACTTACCTCACAGTGTTCTTTGTCTAAAGAAGGTATTGTTTGGTATAATGAATGCATGGTTTGGTATTCCACAACCTTTATCTTCTCAACTGTGGCAAGAACAACACCTAGTTTTAACTTGTTCAACACCGACAAAGTCCCCAACACAAAAAGTTTCATGAGTTTATTGTTTTCTACGATGAACAAAACTGCAGATGAAGCAGCCTTTGGTAATGGTGTTAAAAAATTTGCTACAAATGACATAACAATATCAAAATTTCAGACCCTTTATTGCTTAGTTCAATGCACACCAAATTTATCACCACATGAGTGTAGAATTTGTGTTAGTGGATTAATAGAGCAACTTCCAGGGTGTTGTGAAAATAGAGTTGGAGGAAGAGTTCTAAATCCAAGTTGTAATATTAGGTATGAATTTTACCCTTTTTATATCTCAAATATTGGTTCATCAAATCCTTCATCACAACAAATTCTACTTCCCCAAACAAAAAACTCAGATGCTGATTCAATCATTTCAGAAAACCCTTTTTACCTTTCACACAATTGTTCAACTAACAAAACCGTCACTTTTAGCAACACTTTCGAAGTTCACTTGACAACCCTTTTTTCTTACTTGTCTTCTAATGCCACAAACAGTCTGTTTTATAAAGCTCAAGTGGCAAATACAGCTTTCGGACTCTTCATGTGCCGCGGTGATGTTCCATTTTCCTTCTGTGAGCTATGTGTGAAAAATGCAACACAAAGAATAACCAAAGATTGTAACTTTTTTCAAGAGGGTGTGATTTGGTATAGTCAATGTATGATTCGGTATTCGAATTGGAATTTCTTCTCTTTAGTGGACAAAAGTCATGTGTATTCTGAGATAAATGTTACAAGTGATTCTAGTCCCAACAAAGAGAGAAACTTGTTCAATTTTGTAATATCAACTACCTTATCAAATGTGGCAATTGTGGCAGGGGATAGTGATGGGAAGTTTGGAACAAAATCATTAGAATTGAATGATTTACAAACACTTTATACACTTGGTCAATGTACACATGATTTGTCAAGTGATGATTGCAAGGGTTGTTTGGGAGATATTATTGGAAATGGAATTCCTTGGCCTTATTTGGGAAGTGTTGGGGGAAGAGTTTTATATCCTAGCTGCAATTTGAGGTTTGAATTGTTCCAATTTTATATGGACAATGACAATGTTACCAAACCAAAAATTGCTCATTCTTCATCAGGTGAAGCCCTCATATTCTAGTAATCTTTAATGTACTAGCACTATAAATAATTAGCATAGTCTAATGAGATGTGTTTGATTGTTCTATGCAGGGAAAAGAACAAACCGGCCACGAACAATTGCTTTGATTGTTTTGCTCTCAGTTGTTCCAGTGATACTCTTCTGTGTTGGATTCTATTTGATAAAGAGAAAAACAAAAAGGAGTTTTAGGTCTATTCTCAATGAAAACTGTATGTATTATAAAAGAGGATACAATCTATCAAACCTCTTCTTTCAAAGCTTTAAAGTTTGAAAACTTGGTTTAACTAATTTAACCATTTTGATCCAGTTGGTGATGAAAGTGCAATTTTAGAGCCATTGCAATATGGCTTAGATGTAATTGAAGCAGCAACTAACAACTTTGCAAATGAAAATTTCATTGGTAAAGGTGGATTTGGAGAAGTTTACAAGGTGGGTGGTAGTGGTAAATATGGTGAAATTTATTATTTAGATCTCAGTTTTTCTACAAATGATGAACTATATTTGCAGGGCACACTTTTTGATGGGCGACAAATAGCCGTAAAGAGACTCTCAAAAAGTTCAACGCAAGGTGGAAAAGAGTTCAAGAATGAAGTTTTGTTGATCGCCAAGCTTCAACATAGAAATTTAGTCACATTCATCGGTTTTTGCCTCCAAGAACAAGAGAAAATACTTATTTATGAATATGTGCCGAACAAGGGCCTTGATCACTTCTTGTTTGGTTAGAAACTTAATTACATTAAACTCCTTAATATTTATCCTATATAACATGCTAACATTTCTCGCTTGAATATTTTTGCAGACGTTCGACAAAGAAAGTTCTTAAGTTGGCCCGAACGTTACAACATTATAAGAGGAATTGCTCAAGGAATTATCTACTTACATGTACATTCTCGACTCAAAGTTATTCATCGTGACCTGAAACCTAGTAATATTTTACTAGACGAAAATATGACTCCAAAAATATCAGACTTTGGCCTTGCTAGAATTTTTGAACTAAACCAAGACGAAGCGAGTACAAATAGGATCGTTGGAACATTGTAAGTTTTAAATGATCATCAATTTTTATCGGTTTTATTTCTTTAAAACTAAGCTCATGTTAGTTTTTATCAATGTTTTTTTGTATAGAGGTTACATGTCTCCGGAATATGCAATGCTCGGACAATTTTCTGATAAATCTGATGTTTATAGTTTCGGAGTCATGGTTTTAGAAATTATGACAGGAAAGAAGAATGTAAGGTCTTATGAATCAATTGTTGGTGATAGTCTCCTTAGTTATGTGAGTATATCTTCACTCAGATGTATTAATATGCAAAGTGGTAACAAATTCTATATCATTAATTTATCAAATTCTTACAGGTTTGGAGACAATGGAGAGATGAAACACCATTCAACATATTAGACCCAAACATTAAAGGAACTTATTCTGAAAGTGAAGTAAAAAAGTGTATTCAGATTGGTTTATTGTGTGCTCAGCAGTTCCCAGATGCAAGACCAACAATTGCAACAGTAGTTTCATATCTTAACAACGACTTCATTGAATTACCAGCTCCCCAAGAACCTGCATTTTTGTCCCATGGTCAAAAGAATGCAAAAGGCATTCCACAAGAATCAAGTTCTACTCAGTCTATTAGTACATCCACAGCTTTGACGATCAATGATTTGTCTATAACCGAATTGATTCCTCGATAATATGTTCATTTTTCTTTTCTTGATGTTGTTGTTTATGAAAGTTTTAATTGTATAGCAAAACTCCATTTGCTAATGCTTATATATAAATTAATCATAGTATTTTATCAGCACTTGATATTTATCAGAGTTTGTCAAATAAATTTGAAAATGTTAAATTATAGGTAGAAGGAAAACATTTGAATTGAAGTAGGAAGGTAAGACCGTAAGAGACCGTAGCGCATACACATATTCTGTGTGTATGCGCTACGGTATGTCACACAATTTGCGTTAACAAACCTAAATGCGCATTGAAGCCAGAGAGAACAGAATAAACCCCATGTGCTACAAAAAAACTAGAACTCACTAATCACTAAGCACCCCTACCACTAACAACGCCAGGAAAAATGCAATTGGGTGCGTTAAACACCTTCTGATAGTCACAAACTAGCAGAGTTTCTCAATAAAGCTGAATTTTCTAAACCTAATAACCAATAACTCAAAAAGGAATTCTCCTAAAGACCAATCACAGATAGCCACAGTAGCAGAGCAACACAAAGGCAAAAAACAATTACTGAAGAAAAAAACCTGAATGATTGAATAATATGATACTAATATATAGTATATTTTCTCCTTAAAATTATCATTGGTGAAAGAGGATTTTTTTTTTTTGGAATATTTAACACGAAATCAAAATAATTCCTCTATTTATTTTATTTTTTAAATTGGTTCGTATTCCGTTGTAGAATAAAAAATAGTAAGAATTACGGAAACTACAATGAAACGATGCTTCTTGAGCACTACAGTGATGAGGCATCGTGGATTGAAGGTTGCGATCACGATGCTTCTTGAGTCAGAGGCATTAATCTTGAATCAACGATGTTTATTTCTGATTCAATAGATCAAGGAGTACCTGTATCGTTAACACTCCAACGCCCAAGTCAGTTTAGGGTTCAAGATAGTTATAGTGAAAGTGAATATTAGAAATTGTGTACCTGAAAACCCTTTGTGGAGTTATTTATATCGTGGGCTGCTTAATGGAGCGAGCTGAATAAGCGGGCTTTGTGTTATTGGGCCTTTGGCTTACACGGAATGGTTTTCCCCAAGACTTGATAAGCATTATGTATGTCACGAGAGTCTTTAGAAGTCGTGGTCGGCCTTCGGCCTTCAGGAGTGGTTGTCCAAGCGTTGGTTCGTATGCACTGTCTTGGTTTTGCCAAAGTGTAATGGAGAACGTGAGCATTAAATGTAGTCCCTTTATTGAAACATTTCACCATTTTTTCTTTGACATATGACCGGAAAAGGCATTGAGTGATGAGATGTAGTTTAATGTGCACTTGATTACACTTGAATGTGATTGTTGTTCCTAAGATGAAATCTGACCGTTGATCTAGACTTGCTTCTCACTTTTAATTTGATTTGTCTGATAACATTTGCGTATATAAGGATATGGGAAATATAGAGTAACTTTTTTGTAATCTCGTAGACTGAGTTTCCTTTGCTTCCCTCGAGTCTTTCCCTTTCACCCGAGAACGATTTTACAGGAGTGACTTTTGCCACCCATTTAAAGTTTCAAAGTTTTAACTTTTCGACCTTCTTCTTGCTTTATCGCCTTCAACCTTACATTTCAATGTACCTTCTCTTCACTTCTGTTTTTCATTCAAGCATTTATTGTATTTTCGTTATGATGAACAATAACCCTATTATCATCGAGAGTGATTCAGAGGGTAGTATTTCTTCTTCTTCAAAAAGGGGAATGGAGTCTGAATCACAGTCATTCTCTTTTGTAAATGGGGATTTTAAATCAGAAATTCTCCCTTTGAATGATGGTTCAAAAATGGAAGGAACCTCTAGAGGATCTCTTTTAGACAAAGCTTCTTCTAAGGATTCTTCAGAGACTCTATTTTCAAAGAAATCTAATTTAGGTGAAAATCGTGTTGATAAGTCGATGCTTCCACCTGACTTGACTGAGGCATAAATAGAAGTTTCTCATCAAAGGAGAGAATATGCCGATAGCTTTGTCCGACTATATAGGCGAACAAGCAGACATGAGCCCAACAATAATGAAATCGCGTGTCATTAAGAATTCCAGGGACGATCTAATATTGTGTCTTGGATCAGTTCCGATGATCATTATAAAGCTGGTGAACTAGGCCGCGTGGAACTTAGGTTAATTGAGTCATCTAATGCCAATATCTACCACTGGGTGGTCGCTAAAGTAGTTGGGATTCCTTCCATCTTAAATAATGACGAGGCTATGACAAACACTGATGTTATGGTTGGCAACCCCTCTAATTGGTTGATTCTCCTAGTAGGTCCGGTGGAGAGGATATGCATCTCTTTTGAGGGTTGTTCGGTTGCTCTATACGAGTATCTTTTAACAAGTTAGAGGTATGCTTTCCCTTATCTGATTTTGAGGTGGCTGTGATGGACCGTTTGAAATTTTCCCCCTTGCTGATTCATATCGGAGCTTGAGCTTTCATGAAGGTGTTCCAACTGTTCCGATTATAAATCTTGGAAACCTTCCTTAGAGATCTTTTTTTAAATCTTTTTCATGAAGCCCGTTCTTCACAGGATGATGGTCGGGATCAAGGATTGGTCTCCCTTCGCCCTTGAGTATATTGGTTTGGTCATTTCGCCGCTAACTGAGGTAATTTTATGAAACGTTTCACGTTGGTGAAGAGTGTTACTCCCGAGGCTCATCTTGCCTTTTGTTTCTCTTTGGTCACTGACAAACGTTCTCGTTCTTGCCGAAGTAGTTTTCTGAAGTATTGGTCTAGAGCTCATTTGTGCCAACCTCTTTCTTCTTACCATTCTGAGCTAATTCCTATATCCTATGAGGAGGTGAAAATGAAATAGGATCTATACTCCTGGTATTAGTGGCTCAGCTATGAAGAACGATTTGGCCTTGGATAAGTACACTCTTTTCAGCACAAAAAAAAGAAGCAAATAGATACTTATGTGATTATCAATGTGCCTGCTTATTCCGAGAGGCAATAAATCTTTGGGGAGAATGGAGGCCCTGGTGAATTTTGCAGATAACTTGGATCAATTGTAGAAGGCTCTTGTGTTTGCTAAGGATCAAGGTCTTATAATTGGCTTATCTGGACATAAGCTGACAACCCTTATTGTTGCTTCTACATCTTCTCTAAGGGTTCGAGTATCGTCTATAGTTGCTACCCCAACAGTAGTTGCAACTATTATCCCGACTATAAATCTTGAAGTGGAACAATTGAATACTACGACATATGGCTTCTCTATTCATAATCCTTTGCCATCTCCTTCTTCTGTCAAGAGGATTCAGAGTGATAACTCTTCCACTCATGTTGGAATAGGTTCTTCCAAATGGGCTCACTTGTTGAAAGGTGCCAAGCAGGAGGATCTTACTCCTTTCTTCCAACTTTGTACCATTATTCTTTATGGAGTACCTAGCACCCCGGAGGACCTTGCTTTTTATCTAGAGTCTATCTGCAGTCAATAGGCGCGGTCTTTTTGTAGATGCTTCTCATACCTTATTTAGGGTCGGTGTGTGTGCAACTTCACCATTAGATGTTTTGCATGATGTCAAAACTAGGAAAACTTAGAATTTATGTATATTGGATGGTATTTGTGTCTTTTGGTGCATCCTTGCATTAGAGGTCTTAAGACACATTCAAAACAAGTTTAAAATTGGCCAAAAACATGAAAAATCATTTTCTGCACAAAAGATAACAACATGTGTCGGCACATCCGCTTTTTAGGTCGACACATGTACTGCATTATTAAAGGTTGTAGCCTTTGTCTTGCATAGGTTGGCACATAGCCTGTTTGAGGTCCGCACATGATGAAAAATAATAGTATGTGTCGGCACATATGATTTTTAGGCTGGCACATGTACCGCATTATTAAAGTTCGTAGCTTCTATTTCTCATGTGTTGGCACATGACTCATTTCAGGTTAGCACATGTTATAGTTTTAAGTCTATGTGCCAGCATATCTGTGTTTCAGGCCGACACATCCTGTTACTTTGGTTAGATTTTATCAATTGTTATAATTCCAAAATTTCCCTCTTTGACACCGAATTTCCACAACTATAAATACATCATACATGCATCATTTCAACTTGATGAAACTATAAACACTTACCACCTTTGCTTTTCATCTTCAACCTCCAAACTATGCATACACACACACACTAACAAACTACACATAATCATTTTTTATTGGGGGTGTCATCTAGACAAGATTTGATAACATCCAATTAGGTTTTTGTAACAGGGAATATTGGGTTGATAATTGTGGGGGGTTTCATACAAAAAACCCTAGGGCTTGTCCTCCAAGATCTTTGGTAGATTTGGGGGGTTTTATACAAGACTTTGGAATAATGGATTCGGCCTAGTAAAAGCTTTGAAGATTGGAGATCTTGAAAATGAGTAGCGCGAGACAGTGGATCATATTGGAAGCTCTTGTGGTCAATAGTTTGCAATTGGATTCGGTTTAGTGGAAGCTTTGGAGATTGTGGATCTCTCAAAGGAGTATCATGAGACGGTGAACCAATTGGATCTATTGTGTCTTGGTCTTGCTCAAGATCAAAAGAAGAGAAAGGATTGAATCAACATCAAATAGTTAGGGTTTATAGGGTTGCTCTAGGAACACTTCTCTTGTAATCAACTTTTTGAAAAGTAATAATTTTATCTCAAATTCAAAACGGATTGGTGAAATTCCTAAACAAATCTTTGTGTCATTTTCTCTCTCTCTCTCTCTCACTTACTTTCTATATGCAATTTGTTGAACTTGGTGTTTGATTAATCAATTCTTATAGAATTTTTCTTTGATTGTTAAATTTTAAATTTCTTTGTTGATCAGCTTATAATCACTTTGATTGTAAGTGTTGTTCTCAAATTAACAAAGTTCAAAAGAAATTCTGAAAAATTGATTACGCGCCAAGTGTTCGATAAATTGTCACGCTTTTTAACACAATTTCATTGGAAGTAGGTGGTTGTAGTGATATGTTATAAATGATTAATTGTGAAACAATTGTGTTG